ATTTCTTGACTGATTGCCCACGTGGGTGGTCTCAGTTTCCAGGTAGACTGATACTGTGTGACCCAAAGCCTCCACTCTAAAATCACATTGTTGGCCTTTCTCATGTGGCCAGACCCCACCCTAAATCATATTGTTAGCCGAGGACAAAGGCCAGACTTCTTTCTGGATAAGGTTAAATTCTTTACATAGCATCCTTCCTTCTTTCCCAGTCCCCTTCCTACTCGAAAATACTTTATTCGTGTTTGCTTTGCCACTGATGAATGAATATTGCTTCTAGATCATGGAAGATACAGAGGCCACAGGGAGAGCTCTCTCAACCTCAGTTTCCTTCTGACTAAAATGTCTCTGAGCATTCTTCTCCTTGCCTTGGAGGAAGGAACCCCCTCCTTCCTGATGTTAACTCTTGTGTCTGCTTTGGTCTTTCTGTTAGGGGACTGTGAATTATCATTTACTATATCTTGCCTCCTTGACTGTTTTTTCTTTTGCTGGCTTCTTTGCCTCTATCTATAAACATTTTCTTTTCTTGCTAATTTTAGCCCTGCTTGCTTCTAAGTTCCATTCAATTCTTGAAAAATATTTCAGTAGAATCCTATTAATCCTCTAATAAAATCCAGCCTCCTTATGGGGCCCAGGTAATGCCTTATTTTGGTACAGCACCTTATGGTTTTGAAAACCTTGTATTCTCCAGTGCTTGGTAGGTCCTAGTGCTGGAAAACTGATGAATGAATAATTTGGCCAGGCAGAGAGAGAAAGAGAATTCTTCTACTTGGAAGAAACAGCAGGAGCAAAAGCACAGAGGTGTGAAAGGCGAGGAGGTTAGGGGAATGGAAATGAGCACTGCATGGAAGATAATGGTGAGAATTGAGCATGGAATCCCGTGGGCAACCCTAGAAGGTTTGGGACCAGGTTGATTTGTGACCTGTGCTGTGATTGTGGATGATAACTCCTGCAGCCATGGAGAGGGACTTTGGAACTGGTAACCCTTGGGGTTAGAGTTCTGCAGAGGTACAGGCTAGAGATGAAGGCTGGCTGAACTTGGGTTGTGGGAAAGGAGCGAGGAGAACAGTCACAGCTGTAAGGGAGACGTGTGATCAGCATACATGAGTGAAGGAGGAGTTCTGTGTCTAGAGGTTTAAAGCTGCTCAGTAAATCTCGGTTGCATGAGGAATGTTTGATTTAGAAACAGAGGCTAGCTCTGTGTCAAGCTGGAGGTTTGGTTCGCTGGGAAGTGGTGCAGTGCATTGGCAGCACCCAGTGAGGAGGGGCAGGCAGCTAGAGAAGCTTCCAGTCTCTCTTGAGACAGACTTTTACAGTTCATTGAAATGTTTTGACTTCTTAGATTCCATAATTCCCACATTCAGTTTATTCATTACAGGATGCACTGTCTGAAGCTGAGTGCTCTGGGAGCCAGTGTATGTTAATGGAAGAACATGGGCTTTGGAGGCAAAGCAGCCCTGACTCCAGCCTTACTGGCTGTGGATTTGACCAAGTTGCTTAACCTCTCCGAGGACGCAATTCTGAATGTGAGCTAGTAACAGTGTCTAGCTCTTAGGGTGGCGGTGGGATTACTGTGATCGTGTGTACAAAGCTCCTGGTGCTCTGTAGACGTTCAGTAAATTGTCTTTCCTTTCACCCTCAGGTATGTTGCACTGTCATTAACTTGTAACCGAGAGCTAAATATATTATTAGCATGTCAAATTTTTATAGTATTTTGAATACTGGTGAATCTGATGTTAGAAAAGTTCATTTCATGCTAAACAGAGAAAGCCTTTTAGGAAGATAGAGAAAGAAGTTGAGCTCAGGGTCAGCTATTCCCTGGGACAGGACATTTAAAGAAAGGTTTGTAACCCCAGGGTTCTTTTTGTTTCTGGATTTAGAATTCTTGAGGGTTTAGTTACCGTGCTGGGATTTTTAAAAAGATTTACCCCATTTGACTCGTCTGGTTGTGACTCTAGTACAGGGATACAAGTGGAATCTTTGGTGTGCATGTAGACATTGCTTGGTGACAGCCTCAGCCAGCGCCTGCGCTGTAGGGGAGATGCCACGCGTGTGCTTCCCGGACCTGCGGTCCCGGCTTCCCTGCGAGTGGGGATTTCTCTCTGTCCATCCCCTGCTCCCTTTCTCCCCTTAACCCTTTTACGTTTCTCTTCCACCCCTTTTCTCCAGGGCTCCGCAGGACCTTGTGACCCCTCCCATGGCAGATGTTGCTACCCTGTGGTCCTCTCATGCTTCCTTTCCTGTGCCGTGGGCTTCATTTCCACTTTTTCTGGTGTCCCTCGAGCATCCTCCCTGCTTCTCTCACTCATTCACTCAACAAATGTCTGTGGGGTGCGTAGTGTGCTGGGGTGCTGGGGATATTTCCAGAATATCCCCTTGAGGCGATAACAAAAGAACAAGACACCCAGCCAGAGAAGGTATGAAGTGTGGCCAGCAGGCTCGGGAGGGTGTTGGATTTTAGTCTAACTGAAAGGCAGTCGTTGATGGCTGCAGGCCGGGGAGTGACACGTTCTGATTCCTATCTGTAAAAGGCCGTGCTGGGTGCTGAATGGGGAACAGGATTGTTGGGTGAGTAAAGGCATGAGGGTAGGAAGGTCTGGGCAGGGTGGGGAGGTAAAGAAACAGTCAGATTTGGGATGGGTTTTGGGGTCCAGCCACAGGACTGGCTGAGGGGTTGGGTGTGGGGAGGTGGGGGAGAGAGATAAATGGAGGGCAGGTCCTTGTTTTTTGATCTCAGCAATGAGATGGTGTGATATTGCTTATTGAGACGGGGGAGAGTGGGGTCATAACAGCGTTGGGGGCAGGTTCTGCTTTGACTCGTCTGCATTGGAGTTGTTGAGTAGCCGGTTAGATGTACGTACTCACTGGTGCATCAGCAGTTGGGAGTTTTCCAGATACAGGTTTTTAAAAAAATTTTCCCCCTAACCTTCCTGGGACTGAGATCCCATAAGCTGGTTTCTGCAGGGCATGCAGATGGAGGGAGACCCAGGACTAGGCCTGGCTACTCCCAGCGCTTAGATGTCTCTGGGGGAGAAGTATCCAGTAGGAGACTGAGGTGTGGCCAGGGAGAAAGAGAGGTGCAGCGTTGTGTGTCCCTGCTGCCACCACCACTCATACTCGAGAGAGGGGCCTTCCCTCCGCTGCGTCCCTGGTTCCTTGTTTGCTGTGTGTGTTCTCTCAGTTTGCCATCTTTTTGATCTGCAGTGCCCAAGTGCTACTTGAGTGAGTGATTGAGTGATTGACTGACAAAGTCTCACTCTGTCACCTGGGCTAGAGTGCAGTGTCGTCATCATACCTCACAGCAACCTTAAACTCCTGGGCTCAAGCGATCCTCCTGCCTCAGCCTCCCAAATAGCTGGGACTATAGGTGTGTGCCACCATTCCTGGCTAATATTTTAATTTTGTTTTTTAAAATTTTATTTCAGAGTATTATGGGAAATTTTTCTATTTTTAGTAGAGATGGGGTCTAGCTCTTGCTCAGGCTGGTCTCGAACTCTTAAACTCAAGCTATCCTCCCACCCAGCCTCCCAGCATGCTAGGATTACAGACGTGAGCCACCGAGACTGGCCCATGATTAAATATTTTAATATAAAAGGCTTTCTAGAAAGGTTAAGTAAGGTTACTATTCACAGTATGGATAATGTGGTAGCATACCATTGAGACTCGACTTCAGTTGGGTTAATGTTCTGGTATTTTTTTTTCTCCGTTAAAAGTTAATATTCTGTTCTTTAGATTCAGTGATTTGAGAAGAAAATCTTGGTTTCATACAGTGTGCCAAATATTTCACGAAGGCAAGCAGAGGGAGGGAAGGCCAGGAACATAATCACAGCAGACTGCGGCGCAGGGTCTGAGTGGCCGCGTTTGGTTACCTGTGGAGCGAGGGCGTGGGTGCCCTGCAGTGATCCAGGCTGATCCAGGCTCCCTCTGCCACCGGCTAGAGAGACACCTTCTCCTTCCAACCTGCTTTGGAGTGTAGCAACCTGTTCCGCACGGCCACACACAGGATCTCACTGTCACCGAATGGTGCCACCTCTGAAGTCTTATGGGCCCCCAGCCTCAGTCCCGCCTTTTCAGTCCTCCAAGCCTGTTGGGGTGCCCGGACATGTCCTTCGCCTGCCCCGCCCACCTTCTCTTCCCCCTTTCCTTGTGGACTCAGAGTCAGCCATTGCAGCGTGGGTCGCCTCTGCTGAGCTCCGGCCTGTGCCAGCCTTCGGGGCAGCGGGGCTTCTGGACAAGAGCGCTCACCATTCCCGCCGCTTTGTTAGACATGAGGTTCCACGTTGTCTGGGCTGCAGGGTCTCTGTTCCGCCCTCCCTTACCTGGGCTGCCCTCCTCCGCTCCCTGTTCGGGCTCCCAGCAGCTGTCCTTGCACCTTCCTTTGCTTCTCACGCCCCCGCCCCACCTCGTCTTTGCTGAGAAACAGTCTCGTGGAATATGAAGGGCCGTAGCTTCTGTTCATCTCCACGTTCCTCTGTAGCTGCCCCTTTTTCCTCAGGAAGAAGGGCCAGAAGCTTTGTCAGCTGTCACAGACCCCTCTCGCGCTGGCAGCCTCCTTGATCACCTGCCCTGGTCGCCTGGCTGAGGCTGTGCTCGTCAGGTTTCTCCACAGTAAAGCTAGCCCCCCTTCCGTACTCTTCCGAAGGACGTCCCTGCACGGCCACACTAAGGAGGGCGGCTATGCGCCACCACCCTGTGGCAGGTCTCCACAAATGACTTGGAATTCTTTGGCACAGGGGATTTGTATGTTCTCTCTTATTTATATCAGTGTGGACTCTTGGATATTTAGTTTTACTCTGGGTTATAATGCAATACTGTTTTACTTTGTTCAAATCGTTCCAGCTTTGGCCATTGAGAGCTCTTGCGGTTGGTTCCCATGTCCTTTTGACACGCCCCATCTGTGTGTGTGTGTGTGTGTGTTGAACGCTTCCTTACTTTCTGGCAGTACAAGATGCTCCAGGCTCGTCTTGTGTGTTTCCTGCCTCAGCCCTGGTTCCTTTTATTTTAGTGAAGGACGGTATTAAAAACCAAGCTCTGGGTGTCAGGCGTGCTGGTGGCCATCGGGTGTGGCTCCTGGGCCCTCTCCGCCGACAGAGCAGGTAAATGTGCGTGTGTGTGCTCACCCGTGTGTACACGGCAGCCGCAAGTGTTGTGCGCGACTGTTTACGTTAAGCCAAGTGTGAGTTCATGCTCACGTCTCCACCTCCAGCGTGTGCCCGCGCAGCGCTGCAGCCTCCTCCCTGCTTATCTGGACGCTCCCGCCCCACCGGGGGCCACCCATCGCTTAACTGTCCCGTTCCAGGGTGTGGAACTGTTTATCAGTTTATCACGCCCCGTGGGAACAACGCAACTAAAATGCCGTACTCATGGCTCCTTCTGCCTTTGTGCTGGGAGGTCCCGCTCACTGCCCGAATTCTCTGCTCAGCACCTTTCCCTGCCCTCTGCAGGGAGTTTTCTCATGTTTCTCAAACAGTTAGAGTCTTTTGTCACAGTCCGCATTTCATCCCGAGATCCTTGACCTCCCCAGTGATTACTGCATACATTAAAGTTCACTGTGTTACAAGGTTCTATGAGTTTGGGCACGTTCACCATGCCATGTGTGCACCGTCACAGTAGCACGGAGCAGAATAGGCGCTCTACCCTGGAACCAGTCCCCTGAGCTTTACCGCCCTCCATTCCTGGGGCAGCCACTCATCTGTGTCCCGTCTCTGTAGTTTGCCCTCTTCAAAATGTCACGTAATAGGGATCATGCAGTATGTAGCTTCATCACTGGCTTCTTTTACTTAACAATATGCTTTTAGGATTCATCCGTGTTGTGTGTTAATAGCTCATTTCTCTTTATTGCCAGATTGTAGGCACGAACCACGGTGCACCCATTTACCTATTGAAGGACGGGTTTTCAGTGCATATGAATGAAGCTGCTTTGAACATTCTGGTGCAGGGTACGAGTGTGGCTGCTGGATTGTGTGGTAGGACTGTGTTTAGCTTTGTAAAGCTGCCAAAGTGGCTGTACCATTTTGCATTCCCACCAAAATGAGCGAGAGTTTCGGCTCAGTGTCTTTGCCAGCAGTTGATGCTGGTCAATTTGTTTGTTTGTTCGTTTATTTGTTTTTAAAGAGATGGGGGTCTCACTGTGTCACCCAAGCTGGCCCCAAACTCCTGGGCTCAAGAAATCCTCCCACCTCAGCCTCCCAGGTAGCATTCCTAATGACATATGATGCTGAGTGTCTTTCCATTGATCTATTTTCCATCTGTATAACCTTGCTAGTGAGGTTTCTGTTCAGATCTTTTGCCTATTTTTAGAATTGTTTTTGTTTTCTTATTGTTGAGTTTTAAAAGTTCTTTATTCTAGTTATGAGTTTTATATCAGAGATATGATTTACAAATATTTTCTCCCAGTCTGTGGCTTGTCTTTTCATCTCTTAACAGTTTTCTTTCTCTTTCACCTTTTGCCTTGCCTTCTCTGCGGCTTCATTCCCTGGGTGTGCAAGCTTGGACCTTCATTCTTTAAAAGCACAAACCTGTGGTGAACCTGTTTTGCTTTGGGGCCTCTTAGTTTACATGCTGTTAGTCTAATAGCTTAATTGGCTTAACTTGGCATATTAGTCTTCATTCTGTTTCTATTAAATCCATTTTGGGGGCTATCCTAGGCTTTTATTTTATTTATTTATTTTTTTGGAAACAGATCCTTGCTCTGTTGCCCGGGCTAAAGTGCTCTGGCGTCAGTCTAGCTCACAGCAACCTCAAACTCCTGGCAATCCTCCTGCCTTAGCCTCCCAAGAGTAGCTGGGACTATAGGCATGCGCCACCATGCCCGGCTAAGTTTTTCTATATTTATTAGTTGGCCAATTAATTTCTTTCTATTTATAGTAGAGACGGTGTCTTGCTCTTGCTCAGGCTGGTCTCGAACTCCTGAGCTTGAGCTATCCTCCCAGCTCGGCCTCCCAGAGTGCTAGGATTACAGGTGTGAGCCACGGCTCCTGGCCCTGTCCTAGGCTTTTTCAGTGTCTCGTGGTCATACCAAAATGCATCCAGCCTGGTGGGACTGGCATGAAGTCACAGGGCTGACTCATTGTCACCTTGGGTGGCACTTAAATCCCATGGGTCCAAAGGAGTGCATCTGTAAAACGGAGAGACCAAGAACTTCTTAAGGATTGTCATAAATGTTAAATGAGATAATACATGAGAGGGGAAATTAAACAAAGTATTCTCCTCCACTTTTCCCTTTAGCTACAGATGTCCATCATTTAACTGCAGTTTAAAAAATGTGCTTCTCTAATGTTCTCAGCACTCAGTCTCCCAGGCTTGTGGCTCTTTACTGAAACTGCCAGTGAAGGTCTGAGGTGATCCGATTGGCTTCGTCTGGATGGTTGACAGCTCCAGCCTTCCTGGCTCGCTCGCCCCCACCCTCGCCTTCCCTTAATGCCCTGGCCAGCTTCCTTCCTTTAATGTCTGTCCCCCAGGGTCTCTGCTCCCTTGGGTGGGCTTATCCCTTCCCCCTTCGCCTGTCAGCTCTGCACTGGGGCCTCTCGTCCTGGGTCAGCTCTGCTTAACCTGCAGATACCTCAATACTTGGTGAGTCTCAATCTCACCACGTTCTCGAAGAGTGTTAACC